CCGCGGAAGAAACCGGGGGCCTGCCGGAGGCAGTCTGGAGGCCTCTGGGGAGCTGTTTTGGGGCCTCTTGGAACCTCTTTTGGGCCTCTTGTGGGCTTCTTGGGGCCCCTTGGGGGTCTCTTGGGGCCTCCTGGGGGCCTCTTGGGGCGGAAAGCTCGGTTCTTTCGGTTCGTGGTCCCCCTCTTGGGCCCCTCTTGGGGCTCTCTTGGGGCCTTCTTGGGCTGTCCAGAGGCCCTCTTGGGCCGTCTTGGGGCCCTCTTGGGCCGTCTTGGGGCTCTCTTGGGCCGTGTTGGAAGCATCGTGGGCCGTCTTGGGACGGACTTGGGGGCCTCTTGGGCCGTCTTCGAGCGTCGGACGCCCGAAAAGGCAAGAACGCTAAAAACCCTGAGAAAACCAATGAAAATCAACGATTCTGGCCTCTTGGGGCCCTCTTGGGAGGCCTCTTGGAAGCTTCTTGGGGCGTCTTGGAGACACCTTGGGCCGTCTGGAGGCCATCTCGGGCGTCTTGGAGCGATTTTTCGGCGACTCGGGGCCCTCTTGGAACCCCTTGGGGGTCTCTTGGGCCCCCCCCCTCCTCCAAAGCGCCGGAAAAAGCGGAGCATGGCGCCCCCCCCCCCCCTATCTTCCACTCCCCCGGAGCGGCCCCGGGGTTCGCCGGAAACTCGCACCCCCCCCCCCCCCCCCACCCCCCCTTCCCCGGCAGAGCCACCCCGGCGACCCCCCCAGAGGCTGAAGCTCAGCCTCGAGGCTGTAGCTGAGACTCCTTGAAACTCACACGCCGGATCGGCGGATATAAGTAGGTGTGTGTACGTACGTACGTATGTACGTATGTATGTACGTACATACGAATATGTGTATAGATGTGCGTTTATACATGTAGGAATGCATGCATGCATGTTTGTATGAATGCATGCGTGTATATATGCATGCATACATGCATGCATGCATGCATGCATGCATATGTGTATGCAGTTGTGCATGTATACACGTATGCATGTAAGTATGTGTATGTATGTACATACGTGTGTACGTATGCATGCATGAATGTATGCATGCATGTATGTATGTGTGTATGTATGTGTACGTATGTATGTAAGCATCTGTTTGTCTCATGCGTCGGCCCTCATAACACCGCCTGCGTCGTAATGAAGGGCGTGAAACAGCGTCAACTTTCGTAGACTCCAGATTTCGATGAAGAAAATCACAAGCCTGGACTGCACCCTGGGCGTTTCCTTGGAGCTTCTCGGTTCTTCGTAGAATGCTCGTGTATATGTGTTGACCTGGGCTACTGCTTGAGAAAACGCCCAGAGGGAAGCTATGTTCTCTTAGCGTGCAACTTCCTAAACTCTAAGCCCAGAGCCCGACGTCGCGGACTTTCTTAACCCTAAGCGGACAAGCTGGCGCGCCAGATGCCTAGGTTGCTGCTTGGCCCGCTCCTTGGGGCCGCCCCCAGACTTCCGGCGCAACGAAGACCTCGAGGCCCAGATCCCCGACGTCATGTTTTTGGCATAGCGCCGACTCTCAGAGGTCCCGGCCCCTTCCCCTGGACCGGTTTTGCATCCCGAGTCGTTTTTTGCCGGCCCCGAGGGCCGGGAAGGGCCTCCAGAGGCCGAGAACACGAACAAACCTCCCGTTGTGCTCTTGTCACTGCCCGAGGGGGTCTGGGAGCAGGGGCGCGTGCACGCTCTGAGGATCATGGGCATCCGCGCGCCCCTGCCGCGCCTGCTGGCCGGCAGGGTGCGGCACGCCGTCGTCATCGACCGGCAGACGGGGGGGCGGCGGGCGCCTCAGCAGGCGGGCCGCTGCGTGCGGCACGTGGTGGACCAGTAGCCGGCTGCCTGCGGCAAGCCCCGCCGCCGAGCCAGCCCGGCATGTTTCGAGCAGTCAAGCAGTGGCGAAGCGTCCTGGCTCGCCTATAGCCCTGCCAAACAATGTTCTAAGAACCTTTTGTGGTTTCCACGAAATGTTCTTGGAACATTTCTGGTTGGGACTGTCTTGGTTTAACACATCGGGTTAATTGTCTAAGAACATTGGTTTGTTCTTAGATTGGAACATTCTTGGGTTCTAAGAACACTTCGTGGTAGGATTATAGGAATGCCAGGACAGTCGGTCCCTGCTCAAAGCAGGGGATCGGCTACATAATCGATTTATACCCCAGTTATTTTTTTTCTCCCGTCGGATCTCGTACATCTGCGTAGAGGTCTCCTTAGATCCACGGAGTGTTCGACGTGTGTTCAAAATTCTTCATTCTGGGGCAAATCAATTCTGGAGTCGATGTCCTTTTCGAATTCTGGGCGGCTGCCATTCGAGACGGCGCGGGCGCGGGAAACCGTCGCGCGTGACACCTCGTGCCTCTATGAGGCCTTTGGGGCCTGTCAGGTGCCTCTGGGGGGCTTCCTGGGCGCCCATGAGGGGGCTCCGAGGGGCCTCTTGGCAGCGCCTCGGGGGCGTCTCAGAGACTCTTGGAGGCTGCTTGGGTCGTCTGAGGGCGCTCCTGGTC